ACATACACATACACACACTTTTTTTGCTTGAGTAAAATAGTCCACCAGAGTGAACAGCTTATGTTTTGCTTTCAGACTGTGAGTGAATGTTATAAGTGAAAGGTTATTTTAACATTCTGCAGTGCATTACTACCAAAGGCCATAAAGGTAATTGTGATGGGTTAGTAATTAACTTAAATAAAATGGAATGAATGCAGTGACGGAAAAGAGATTGAAATATACAATGTCTCTGGCCATCAAATATTCAGATGTTAGTTAGAAAATGTGCAATGAAGGGTCATTTTAATGAAATATAATGTAATGTAACAATAGAACAGCTCCAGCTTTATGGCCTTAATGTAGACCCTGTCTTCACTGTTATGTTGTGTTGTATTACTGCCATCTACTGTCCAGAGATTAAACCTCATAGCTTACTGCGGCGTATTATACTGGGTGATAAAACAGTTAAAAAAAAACATTAGGTTTTAGCAGTGATCTATATAGAAAAAAAATGCGCCAATGTTGTGACAAACCACAAAGAGTAATGTCATTGGTTAATTCTATTTAAGCTCTTGCATTTATCTAAAATGTCTCATACATACACCAGAGTACCCTCCACTAATGCACGGTGACGTTTATGTGTGTACTTACCATCTTTGTAGCAAGATTTATTGACCAGACCAGGGTTGTCTGCCAGTAGCGTGTTGATCTCTACAACTTCTCCAGTTAAAGGAGAATAAAGCTCGCTGGCTGCCTTTACACTTTCCAGAGCTCCAAACTCATCTGCAGGAGTAAATTTCAGAAAGTACGTCATGAGGGACAAGAGGCCATCCACTTTCCTGCGTTGTGGTGACTCTAAATCCAGCGATGACATGCATGAGATCAAGCTTTATACCCATCTTAATAATATTCACTATTATTCAGCAAACATCATACCTTGCTGAGCCAGCTGTGTCCCCACCTCTGGCAGTCCACAATAAACTACATCTCCCAATGCCTCCTGCAAGCGGTTAGGGAAAACATTTAGCCAGGACAACCAGAGTATGATGTTAAAAAAACAAAACAAAACAGTTATTTGCGTTTCATTTAAATATTGTGGAAAGGGATGTCTGTGTTTACATTTGAGTCACTGCTATCTGGTGTTTGAGTGTTGTGCACACACAAGAAATGTAATGACAACTGTCAGTCCTACATATACTTTCTAAACTTTTAAATAAATGCCAGTTTAAAAACTGTACTTTATATTTATGTCAGTAAATATATGTTATTTAAGTTTTTTGGGGGCCATGTGAGGGAGCATTGCCTTAATTAGCTTGCATAATAAAAGAGCTTTAAATCTTGGATCTGCCTTGCATGTGCACATATTTCAGCGCCATTGTGCTAAAAAGTCATCACCTGCAAACATAAAAAAAAAAAGATTGTTTTTACGTCTAATATATTTGCTTATATTGAAAAATAGGGTGCACTCCGCATAATCTACATATGAAATAAAGAAATAACAAGTATCTTTATGACAATATTATTGTACCTACCTACTGTGTATTTTACACAATAATAAACCCAGTCTCTTCTGGCCACTTAAAATAGCTTTTAAAAAGACATTTTTAATGTTAATGAAACACCTGAACAAACAAAGGACACCTACAAGTCCCTCTGCCAAAAACTGAGTGCAGCTTCTACTGCTACTGGACTGTTTATTTCAAAACACATTGACAACATTTAAGAGAAATATGTTTCACATACTGTAAGCCATCAAATCATTTATAGCAGTTTTAATCAGTGTTGTCTCAAAAAGTGATTTGAGTGATTTACCAAAACATTGTCAGCCTAGACATGAAACGTATGCCAACCATATCTCTAAAGAATGATATAAACCAGTTTGTGACAAAGTGACTTTTACATAGCATTTACTTATCCAGCTAAAAAGTCTCTTGACGTATAAAAATGTCAATTTTTAAAGAGAGAGATCTGGCCAAGCAGCATTAAAAATAACACTATTATAAAGATATTGTGTGGCCAAAAAAGGACTGGATTGATTATAATGTAGATAGAATAATGCAGAGCCATAAAGATACTCGCGAAACAGGCCATTTCCTTATTTTTCATATATAACATATAAAGTCTATTTATCAATACAATTAAACACATTACACATAAAACTCTGAAATCAACTATCAGTTGATAATTTATTAAGACAACACCATTAATCATCTTTTTTTCCTTCTTTTTCTGGCAAATTCCGGAAATCACATTTTGGCACCGGTCTGTGAAGTGCACGCGCAAAGGTGGAATACTCACTTGTGCAAAGTTGCTGATCCCGACCGTCCCGATTCCGTCTTCCACACGAATCCATTCGTGTTTGTCTGTGAATTTAAGCGCTGCAAGATAACACAACATACTCAGAACTTAGCGAGGATTTTGAAGTCCTCGACGAGTATGACAGAAACACTCAAACACGCTGCAGCTATCGTGTCCTTTCTGTCGCTAATGTTATCTAATACAAGACATGCATAGTCGAATACCTGCTGATAACCGGCTAGAAGAGGCTAGCGTTCTCCCAAAATAAGGCTTAGATGCCAGCTGCAATGGAGAAAGCGACGCTGAACGAGCGAGTAAAGGCAAAACTGTAGAAAAGTTGGAAGAGAGGGAACGGAGTAGCCAACAGGCAGCCATGTTTGTCGCTCACTGATGAGAGCATGTTTCTTCTTCATTGATATGAGAGGTATCAGTGGCGCTTTACTGCCCTCCACCGATCATAGTTATTGATCATCTTGAGCGCTCGGTTTGCTATTATAAAAACTATTATTATAATTTAACTATCAATAAATTTCTTAAAAAATAAAGAAATGCCAAACTCAAGCCCAAAGTAAATTACTTGTACCCCTGTTGATTTTTTTTAAAGTTGCCACATATGGGAATGGAAACTGACTTAGAATCGATGCTGCATTATTTTAAAATAAATTTCCTGGCAGTTTGAAAGTTTTATACCATTTAAGACATGTTTCAGCTTCAAAGATCATCTAATATTAAAAAAGGAAAAATAAATTTTTGTTTCTGAGTTGTTTTTTCCCCATGTGGCTGAATAACTCAGTAAAATAAAGTCTAACATTACCTTGGTGATAAAGTGGAAGGTGTACTACTTTTTATATTTCCAACTATCTTAGTTGATCTTTCCAGTACAACGCCGAAATTACTGTCAGCAAAGCCAAGGGAAGTTATACTGATTTAAAAATCTAAGTGTCAAAAATATAATAAAACACACATACACCATTACTTTACAGTGACTCAAATAATGGATTGTAGGTTATGTCCCAATACCTTCTATATACTTTGCTGCTCTAGCAATGCTCAAGATTTAGACATTAATTGAAGTATAAGTTAAATAAACATTCAAATCAGTGACTTAAAGATCTAGACCTTTTAATATGAGACTGTTCTAAGACATGCCTTGCTATTTCCTCAACACATTTCACTTGGAAATAATTGGAAAACAAAAGCCCACATATTCAGCAGCAACAAATTAAAATATAAAAAAAAAAATATGAAAAGAAGGTTTTAGAGAGAAATACTGGGATATACTGGCAAATATCTGCTTCTTTCTGTGAGTATCACCAGGATTTCACACTCAGAATAATACTGCATGTAAATTTCTACGCCCAAAGTAGGGTTGTTTTTTGTTTCGTTTTGTTGGAACACGCCCAACTAATTTAACATATCTAATATCTATGGTTTTGCTGATGATAAGGATAAGCTTCCAAGAAGTTTATCAGGGCGTTATTTCAGGAGCCGTGGTGATATCAGACCTGTTTATGATGGGTCGATTATGTGCAAACACATTCAAGTTTATTTCCTGGCTTCATCCAAATGTTTGTTTATAAACAAACACCCCCCCCCTCCCACACACACACACACACACACACACACACACACACACACACACACCTCAGGGCTTATTCTGATTGACCAGCCTCACAAAACTTAAATTATTTATTAAGTAACACTTTTATTCATACAAAACAAAACAAAAACAACAGAATATATAAAGAAAAGTCACTCTCATGCCTGGGAGTTTTACTATTGCTCAAAATTGCATTAGCTGAGGAAATGGCATGTGTACAATTTAAAAAAATAAAGCGAATTCGAGTGTTTCACACAACCACGCACTCCCTTTGTCCTGTTCTGGCTTCATATACTATGCAGTAAAACAAACTTAAAAAAAAAACAAACAAAAAAAACCCCCAAAACAAAACAGAATGACTAAAAGTGTCCTCCCCTATACCAGCGCTAAAAGCTACAAACATAAATAATAAAAGCACATTTGTTTGGCTTTTACATTACACAGCTTCAAGAGTCCATCCAGTGTCCGCTTTTCCTTTTTTTGATTCTGAATGTGAGAACAAACAAAACAAAACAAAAAACAACAACAATAACAATGACAACATCAATAACAGTAAAGAGAAATGAGAGCTTGCTGTGGAGAAAGGAGTGAAAAACATAGGGGACAAATACTCCTGTGTGTGTGCGTCTGCGTGTGTGTGTTTGGTCGCATCTCCCTCAGAGCTCCTTGAAAGCTTGCTCGCCCTTGTGGAAAAAAATCATGTAACATGTGTTAGGTCCTCCTGTGGGGGGTGCTGTGTGCTGCTGGGTGGGTATGGGTACTGGCGGTCCATTGCAGGCAAACCGAGGGGGGTCTTTATTCTTTAAAGTCTCTCTCCTCACTGCACGAAGGAACAGCTAGGTTGGGAAAGCCAGGTCCAAGATCATGGTCACCACCGTGTACCACAGACACAACACACTCTCTCTCCTTTGTACACACACTCCTGTTGCCTCTGTGCTCACAAAAATATGCACAGTCAGCCAGACCCAGCCACCCCTGATGGTTTTTTTTTTTTAGGTGGTTCGTTCCTCCCCGTCGGTCTCCTGCTTGGTCCTGCGCAGGTTGCTTTTCATCTTCACAAACTCGGGGGTGTTCTCCTGTTCCTCCTCAATTTTCTGTTGCTCCAGTTCAAGCTGCAGGAATAAAGACATTAAATTCACATTTACATTTACACGAAACTCAAGTTTTTCCAAAACACATACAGACAGCTTAGCAACTCAGATAAAGTTTTGAAAAAGCCATTGTACACGTTGGGATTTATGAGCGTGTAAATGACACAATGTCTATCAATCATTTACCTGCTCTAGTTTCTGTTGTCTTTTCATGAGCTCTATCTCCAAGTCACTCCTCTTCTTGTGGGCTTCTTGCTCCTCCTTCTGTTGCTTGAGAACTTGGTCCCTCTTTCTCTTTTCCAGAACCTTCTGGAGCTCAGGTTTGTTCTGAGGAGCCAGACCCCTGTGCAGAATCCATCAATGAAACAGCATGTCAGCTTCAATCAACACATGCTGATGTCACTGCAAAGCCTCATTCAGAAGGAGACTGGCATGCAAATTCATGCGTAATATATGACCTTATTCTGTTTTGACATGCAGATTAGTATTAGACTTTCGGATTAAACACGGCAATCGTGTTACAGGAAAGTTCTGATTCCCAGCAAATCGCAGATTGCTCTGCATCAAAAAGAATTGCATAAGATGATTTTTGCCAGCACAGGAAATGACTTTGAAAGAGTGGGCTGAAACCATGGGTGAGAACTTGGCTGTTTATTTCTTTCCCAGTTGCCTTTTTTTTGGTCTTTTAGTATCAAGAATGATTGCAGGGAAGCATACGGCACACACGGAAAATGTCTTAAGTCACTGCAAAACCAGTGGGACTGTTACACAACTCGGTGAAGACATCTCAGTAAAGTGAAAGCCTGAGGAGCAAAGATGCAAAATATTATGTAATCTGCTAAGCTCTTCCAAAATCATGACAAGAAAAAAAACAAAAAAAACAAAAACGCACAAGGGCAAATAAAGTGGCACAGTAGAAGGGAAAAAAAATACTGTGCCTGGTCAAAAATCCAATCTCCATGCCCTTTACTGATTTAATTTTTTAAAACCTTTAATGCAGATTACCCAACACTCCAACTGATTTTTCTTTCACTATGACAGCCTGAATCTACACAGGCCACAGATGGTCTTCAAAGAAAACACAGCGTCCCTTACCTGGATACATTTTAGCAACAGCACTGCCTTAATTACATGCATTATTAAATCAAGACGATTACATAACTGAGCTCACGGTGTTCCAAAAAGCAGTGGGAGTTAATTTATAACAAGGGTCTGTTTTATCAAGAGTCACTGCTTCAGTTAAATGCCCTGTTTTGCGTCAGTAAGGGTCTTAGAAAGCTCTTAGTGAGCTGAAGCAGGGCAGAGGGCCCAAGATGTGACTGGGTGGGCTGATTTTAAGTACCCTGACGCAGAAGGGGTGGACGCCAAGGTCGGCGACAGCAGTAAGACAGGCTACAGTACAAAGATGCTGACTTCATTCTTCTCTCACCGTGGGCAGTGTTTACATAATAACTGACCTATGCACACACCCCACCACCAAATGCATGCCCTCAGGCAGACTGAGAGGAATGTGTGTTCAAAATCCCACACATCACTACCTCCATCTGATCGAATGCCTGGCCAGTCGTGGTGGCTGAATTTCTCAAATTCCTTTGTTTGTGTAGGAAGGTGCCATTACAGTTAAGGTAGCCAAGGCAGAGAAAGGCCCTCAGCTAGAGACAGTTTTGTAATCTCTGTTACATAACATATTTTTTTTCCTCTCCGTTACAAGCATCCATCCATGCATTCATCCAACCATCCCACTTTCATCACTGTGACTAATCCACTTTGCAGGCCAGCTTTCTATACCTCAGCACACGATAAAAGCACAATCATTAAAGTTTATTCCCCCTTAAAGCTGGTTGATGCTTGTCAAAATCCTCTGTCTAGACTATTAGAAGCAATATTTTGCAGCAGTTTGAGCCGAAAATTTTTATTTTCTATTTTTTTTAGAATTTCATTTCTCTTTGGCCCGTTTCCTCCTGATTCTTAAATGCCCTGCTTTAATCATTACACTCTGGTTTAAGACAGACCGGAGAACTGCTGCTGTGATGTAACAGCTGTCACCAGCATGCGTGTTTACAGAGCTATTTATAGTTCAGGCACAAAGCTGCTGGCACTGTATGGTGTGATAAAATACAAACATCGAGTTTGAAAGGGCAATCATGGGCCCCAGTATGTATGTGCATTTAAACATGCTAAGATATAAACGTATGCATACACTGATTGATGCTCAGAGACTTACAGACCCATAAAATCCTTTGTTTCATGTAATATCAGTAGCCACGACTGGATTTTCCTCCATGGCATACATCTCTGACTTTTACATAACCAATATTTGCCAAAGGTTTTATATATAATAGCTTCTATGAAATGTTTTATATCCCAAGCCTCACATTACACTGCTGCTGGGACCAGTGAAGTCAACCACACTGACAGCAGTAGCATATGGTAGCATCAGTGTCGTTGACATGGATACAAAAAGGAATTAGCAGAAAGTGGCAAGGTTACTGGATTCACTCATCCTCCATTAGTGAAGATAAAACTAAATTATCCTGAATGTGGAACCGTTCCTTCTTATCACAAGTTTGTGTTACACCCAGAAACAAACGGGGATGTTTTATTGTCGTTCTAGAAACTATTGGACTTCAGTGGCCTCTCACTATAAAGTATTATCTATCTTGATACTAGCAGTATTAAACATAAGGAAATCTTAAATATTGCTTTATGGCTATGACTATTAAAGGCATAGGGGTGCAGCTATCTTTGTTTAACACTTAACTGCCGTTATAAAATATAATCTTGTTGTTGGTATCAACAAAAGGGAGGTAAATAATCTCTCTGAAAAAATGTTTTGGATTTACCACATGTGGTCACCAAGTGACAGCTAGGAGTGAGATTCAAGGTATTTTTCTATCTGCTGACCTCTTCTGGTTCATGAGCAACTCTCTGTGCAAGTCCTGGTGATTACGGGAGCTTTTCACTGGGTTGATCAGTTTCTTGGGCTTGATGAGCTCATCACAGTCTTCGTCCATATAGTCCGGTTCCGCCATGACACTCCTCCCTGCTGACAGCGACAAACCAGGATCACAGGGATCTAAATCAACAGGGGGGGGGCAAGAGAAAAAAAAGAGAGACTGATTTAAACACAGTATGAGAAATCTCATACTTCTTGCAAATCAGGATATGAGCATCTGCCAGATACTCTGGCATGAGCTCAGGGTTTTTCACTGGTCTCTATAGTGATGAAGGGACTCAGCACTGGAATTACGTAAGTGTTCCACACCGAGTGAAGAGGAACATTTCATCCCCTTGATGGATGATATGAGAAACATATGCATATTAATGAAGGGACAGTAATGGGTACAGCCCTTAAAAGCCTAATATCTTTCTGACACACAGTGTCATGTAAATATTCCAGAAACTACTAAAGCACAGAATTAGCCCAGAGAATCAGCCTACAGCTGTCTGTGGGCTTGAAATAAAACCAAGTCACATCTGTGAACTCCTCCAGATGTGAACAGATGTTTGCTTTGGTCAACTTTACAGAAGGAGCAGAAACCATAATGTAGAAATTTCTAGCAACAGTTGCGAATGGAGTGTTCACCTATTTTCATACACACAACCAGCACGTCAAAAACCCTCATTGTGAACCAGTATAAACTACAGAAATAGCAGGGGGTACTCAGGGTCAGCACGGTGTATATTTTTACTTATTTCTTCATTTAGCAGTGCTCTAGTTAAAGCTGTGATTTACTCCAAGTTTGATCAATATCTCTCACAAGTTGCAATGTATGCATGTAACACCATACCTTTTATAGCAGTTACTGTTATCGATCTACCTATCTGAACTCACGGCTCACGTGCTCCACTTCAAAGAATGACTAATCAGGAACTTCGGAACGATGCGCATAAAAATTCCAGGACCCAACCGCATGACAAACATACAACAAATGCACTGAGTGATATTTGTGTTTCTTTAAAACACCGACTCTGCAAGCTAAAATAAAAACGACTCACTACTTCACTGTTGAGCTACTGTTTGAATTAAAGCAAAAGAATTACATAAATTGAAAATGAAATGATAAACTCACCCTGCAGATGAGGAAAGACGGGGTATCTGAACATTGTAGCCATCTCTGTTATTTTGATTTGGGATGTATTCTCCAAGAAAAGCTATTAAAACACGCTGTCCTCTTTCCCTCTCTGGCTCTCTTTTTTAATTGGTATCTCGTAAAGCCTCGTGCTGGAGTCGTGCTTTGTTCTGCACAGCTGTCTGCTACTGAGCTGGTTGGAGTTCAAAGTCTGTTTTACAGCTAAGCTCACACAAACCCTCCTTCCCTCGCTCGCTCGCCCTCTCTCTCACTCTCCCTCTCTCTCTGCCCCCTCCTTTACCTTCATTGTTCCATTCACTTTTAATACACACCTCTGGCAGTTTATGACTATGCACAATGTTTCACTTATCAAATTTCATGCTACCTTTATCTTTACTTTTTACCTTTATTAATACAATATGTATTTACGACCTCTGTTAGCTTTAAAACTGTAAAGTTATTAATTACTCGACTACTAAATGATTGTCTGAATGTACCATCCAATAAAGTCATGGTTTCCCGGTCTGACGAATGGCTCAAACTCATAATCAGGTGTTTCTTCAACTGATAAGGACTAAAGAATGCTGCTTTTGATCTTACAGCCAATCACAGTTACTTGTTCCAAAGACGCATCACACTGCATGTGCCAGACACAATGGCAGTGGGAGTGTGTCCTCACAAATCAAAACATGCATTCAAAAGCATTGACGCAATGAGTTACAGTCACCACTAGAGGTCGATATTTTTGCATCCCCAGGAGCTAAATGATGTCAGTTACATAACAAAGAAGCCTGGGATAAACACCTAGTGTGTGGCTGCACTGGGTGCAGAACAAAGAGAGAGAGAAATGATACAGAAACATCCTTGAAGAATATTATACGATATGCTGGTAATAGTACAGTTTTCCTGCCTGGTTGTCATGGTTGTAAACAATTCCTTCTAATCTCAGATGAGTAACCCTGTGTTTACCAACCCATGTAGCCATCACAAACCTATGCATATAACTAATTTAGAAAAGCAACATAAATAACACTGGTCACTAGTTTAGTTTACCACTACTTTCACAGACATCACTGACTCTAGAATTGTGAGGAACCTGGCAGTCAAAGTGCATTTGTTTTTGGCACAGGAAATAGTGATAGTGATTGTAAATGTGAGAAGGGGAAGAACTGCGTGATGCTGTAATCAGGAGCTGCGTGAACCCGCACATGATGGGCACATCAAAGGGTGGCTTCTGTTAATGCCGAGTTGGACGGGTACAGGAACTTACAGACTGGCAGTGTTGTCACAGTGTCCGTTTAACACATCTGCTCCTGCTTCCTCTCTGCCCCCGGGGAGAGGGGAAGTAACATAAGGAGTTCAAAAGGGACCTACAACCTCAAGTTCGAGGACTGCTTAAAGTCAGCTTGATCACCGGTGGTTCTGCATGTTTATTTGCTCCGTCTGGCTTCTTTTTAAAAAAAAAAAAGCTACATGTTACAGTTGCACACCTAAAATCTAAGATGGGTACAGACAAGTTAACATGTTGTCCCTTAAGATCCCTCTGACTGCAGCTGCTTTGCCCATCGGTGGGGTTAAGAATGAAATAACATTGTCACTAACAGCCACTAAAATGTATGTAGTAGATTGCACGTGTTAATATGTGCACCTCCAACTCCACCACATCTCAAGATAACGATAATAATAATAATAATAACAACAACACACAGTTTTTGTTTTTTTTAAAAAAGCACTTTCTGCTTTTTCAAGAATCCCATTAAATCCCTCTGTGTTTATTGGTTTTGGAGACACACCCTTACTACTGAGACAGGCGCAAACACACACACACACACAGATAATGAGTCTCCATTCCCCAAGATGTCCAGGAGAGAGCGTGCAGTACTAATATGATTCAAAATATCCGAGCATCCAGCAATAAAATGAGACAGAAAAAAAAAGTTGGTGAAAACAATGGGAACTAGAGAAGAAACAGAAAACTGGGTCAGAACAGAGTCTTGGAAAGGAGAAAAGCAAAAGCGGAAAAAGAAACTTCTTTCTCCCAGCTGTCCTCATGAGCTGTTCTTGTGTTGTAGGTAATCACACTTCTGGATTAAGTAACAGGGAATATCTGATTGATTAAGTGAGGAAAAATGCCAACAAAAAGATAAACAGTAGTGCACAAGGTTAAAACCACGAGGAGGCTTAAACACACACACACACACACTTACTCACATCTTGCTGACACAAGTTTGTTCTTCTCACTGTATAAAAGCGATACTTGTTTTGCTTTTGTTGTCGTTTTATTTTTTTTTAAAAAGAGGAAGCAGTTCAATGTGTTTGCACTGTGTGAGAAAGTGTAGTCCACAGTGGCAGGCTGCATTAGAGCTGATAGAACGACTAGAGTGCCAGCATTGTGCCAAGGAATTGCATCATCATGGCCAGCTTTGCTATATGAGCTAACACGCACACAGACTTACATTCATTATATGGACTCATTTCTCAACAGCCTCTAAGTTGCCATGGCGATCAGCCACCACCCACAATTTAGTGACACAGCACTGTGATGCAGGACTTGTGAAGACGCTAGAACATTAAAATAATTTTAGCACTGAATTAAAGCCTTAAAAACAATGTTAATGTGGCTTAAATTGTTAGCTTTGGGAAAACAATGGGAAAAAACTGCATCATGTAAAAATGTGTTACTTACAACAAAAGCCATCAGACTCTTGAGTTGGGTTCAGAAATAGCTTCTTTCAGTTAATTTAGAGCCTGCATATTCACCCTTAGTCCTTACCTTACGCACATATGTGCATCCATTAAAAGAATAAAAACAAAACAGAGCACAGTAATGAGCATGGAAGGGGATGTTAAGCTGGCCGGGAAAACAATACTGTGGATACTCTTAAAAAAAACAAAAAAAACCCCCACAAAAACAAAACAAAACAAAAAACAGACAAATGAAGGGGATTGTTAGTGATGTGAACATGATTAAGGAGCAAAGAAAAAGTAGATGACTATCAGCATGACTAACAAGATAGGGCATGCAAAGACACTGACAGCCATACTGAACGATGACATGGTTTAGCTTTTCATGAGTCACAAACGGCCCTCTTCCTGGTGCAGCTTTAGAGACAGAAAATGAAGGCAAGGAGAGCAGCTGGTGGCCTGCGTTGCCATCTGACCCCACCGTTCTCCTTCTAGGACACAGGCACAGACCATCCAGAGATCTGCACACCACAGGGTGGGGTTGGGCAATCAACTGTCATTGGTAGTGAACACATAGCTGACCACACCCACTACAGCATGTGTGAGCCAAGATCCCCCCCTTGCAATTTCCAGTACAAAGGTACACAGGGGTTAGGCTTAAGAAAAGCACTGATCTGAGATTTAGCATCCAGTTTTGATGTAGGCTTTGGCAGCTTATGTTAAAAAAAAAAAAAAAA